CCTATAATAGATTGCCCTAATGCCCAAAATGTTGGCTGCTCTTTCCTGGGGCAGATTTGTATTTCCTCATCAATTTAGTCTTTTTCTGTTGCTGTAACAAAATACTGTAGATTGGACAATATATAAGAGATAGAATTTTGCTCCTCACATTTCTGTGGGAAGTCCAAGATCAAGACACCAGCAGATTTAGTGTCCAGTGAGGGCTTCTCTCTGCTTCTAAGATGGTGCTTTGCTCCTGACTCCCCTGGAGAGGAGGAAGCTGCCTTCACTTAGTAAAAGAAGGCAGGAAAAGCAAGTGAGCTGAATGCTACATGAAGCCCCTTTGATAAGGGCCTTAATCCCACGAACCCAGAAGAAGGCCTCATGGACTTTTCACCTCTTAAAGGTCCCATATTTTAATGTCATCTCTTTGACCATTAAGTTTCAACAGCTGGATTTTGGAGGGGACATTCTCATCCTACTTGTGTCTATGGCACTTTTTTTCTTTGTCAACAAAATGTGACTAGATGTAACTGTGTGTTTCTCCTCTGTTGAGAGCTCTCAATATTCCATCGAGGGCTCCTGGAACGAAGATAGTGTGATATTACCTGTAGTAGCATGCAACCTTACTAAGAAATAAACTTTTGCTATCATAAGCCATTGCAATTGGGGAAACACTGTTTTCTTCAGAAGGACATTATTGTCCTGATTAAGAAAAAGCCCACAGAGTATGCTGGATAGACTTTGGAAACATTTTACTTTTTTGCAGAACAAAAGCAGCAACACTTTTATGTGCTTTGGGCCAAGATTTGGTAATTCCAAGCTTTGTATATAAAAGTTTCTTTGTTACTGTAGACAATCATCCTAACTCAGATGGAATTAAATCTTTCATTGAAGTAGAGCCTAAATGCCAGGGGTCTGGGATCACATAGCCCTCATGCATCAGCCCTGGGAGGTATATGAAATCATTGCAGTTTTTCAGATGAGATAACTAGAATCCCAAGAGGGCAAATAATTTGCTCTAGGTCATGGAGTGGTAAGTGACACACCAGATCCCACCCCGGGTTTGTCTGGATCTGTCCAGCATGACGTCTTTTAGGGGGAAGAGAGAATGGTTGTCCTGCCTTTTTGGAATAAAGAAACAATGTGATTTTTTTAATTTGGGGGAAAGAGGAGTCTCAATTCCCTTTGTGTGAATTGCCACTTGAAATATCACTTGTAGAAAAAGAAATAGAAATGGCTCAAAGACACCCTGTTGAACTGTGACTTAATCATAAAGTCCACGTGAGTTTTGTTGGCCAAAATCACACTGTGAAAGTAAGACTTTAAAGGGTTAGTGCCATTTCCACCACTTGCTGTAGTCTTTGTATGGAAGCTCTATGCTTCTAGACTTAGAACCTGAAATAACATTGAGTCAGTTTTATATTTGTCTAACACATAAGAAATTGTAAAGATACTACCTCAAATTCTAGATTTTTATATTGTTTTCATTTTAAAATTTTATTTAATGAATTATTATTTTTTGTGGTACCAGGGACCGAACTCATAACCCTGCCTTTCAAGGCAGGCGCCATGCCACTGAGCTAAATCCCCAGCCCTATATTGTTTTTAGAGGTTGGTCCTATTGGTGATGTTTCTTTCTCGATGCGAAATTGAAACCCTGGAACATGACAGTTTGGTGGAATGGGTGTGAGTGCCTCGATTCTTTGAGCTTTTGTATGAAACTCTTGTTGCTTTTCCTTTGCTCAGTAGCACATCTCCCATGACCAGTGGGGGAATTGTTGGGCTGTGCATGGATTTTCTTGCCCATGAGAGACACTGTGACATAGAAGGGTACTAATTTTGGCTCAGGCAGGTGGGGCTTAAATTTTAGATTCAGGGGTTACTAGCAATGGGACTTTGGAGAACATTGATCCTTTTGGTTACAGTGGTGGAACTGCTGGTTCCATACCTGTTCCTACTTCAGGAGGTGTCCTGAAGAATAGAAGTACCTTCTAGGATTTGAGTATACACTTCCTGGCACGTGGCAATACTTGGAACCCAGCACGCCTGCAGAACAGTCACAGGTAGGTGGGTGGGCAGGATAGGAGTTGGCAGGCTGACTGTTGACTCTCGAGTTTCAGTTGAACATCAAACTTTTCTTTCTGACTTAGGAGCAAGAATGTATCGTCCCTGATGCAGAAAGCTAGGCTTCAGCGCATGGAGTGAGTATAGATATCCCTCAAATTATCACAGTGAATTCATAACATGATGACACCATGAATAATGGGGCATTTATTTTGCATAAGTAGCTTCCTAGAAGTTGTTTTGTTAAAAACATTCAGGACTCACTAATAGATTTTTAAAATCCAATGCAAGAAAATATTCAATATACTTTACATATGTGAAAGATATTGACTTGTTCAAAACATCAAGTAAAAACAAAAATTTATAAAGATATATATGAGAAGAATACATGATCATTCTGGATATCAGACTGTCAGCTGCTCCCCTTGCCCCCTGGTCCCCATGCCCCTCCTGCTTCCCTTGCAGGAGCTGCCTTTGAAGATACTGGCTCACCAGGGCCTCAGTCTTCTTGTCTTGTTCAGCCCACGTGAATAGAGCTGACAGTTTGACAACATCTTCAACATACCCTGGCCAGTTCCGGTCATGGTAGTGTGATTTCTGAACTGTCAACCAGGAGGGTTAGGCCCACCCGATGTTTGCTTTTCTTCAACGGGGAAGTCTGGCTCTTCCCACCAAGTCCTGTTAAGCCATTGGGTTTTAGGGTAGGGCCAGAGGAGTCAAGGAGTTACAGAAAGCTGAGTGGTAAAGAACTGTTGGGAGGTAGCCGTAACAGGGATGGGAGCTAGGAAGGGGGACGGGTAGGGTTGGAATTAGAGAGACAACCAAGTTAATCGATGACCAGAATAACTTTATTGCATCAATGGAAATAGCAATATTTCTGTATATAAAGCAGCATGTTATACCAAACATTGCAAAACTGAAAACTGGTATTACAGTCACTCAACAGATTCCTTTGTGATCATTATTTTAAAGTGGTGTATACAATATTTTTTGCCATGGGATAAGCTCTCAAAATCTAATTCTACCGGGGTTCCTATGATTCCTCCTTTTATGTCTGTAGGTCCCTGATTCAGACTTTAGCCTGGAAAAAAGAGAGGCTAATGAAAGGGAGGGGAGGGAGGGAAAGGTAATGCAGGTGTTGGTAAAAAGGTGGCTTCCAGCCCTGAGGGTAGCTGAGTTGTCCATGACACACAGAAGGGAAATCCGCTTAGAGAAGAGTAGGGAATTGCACGGTTTGTGAAGATTCCCCCAGAGCAGACAGAGAGAGGGACTTGCTGTCATTTGGAGTGAGTCTGTCCCTGTGGGGAACTCGGCCCAGCTGGGACTGGGGATGCACTGAAGTGATTCCCTCTTTTTTTATTTAGCTTCCTGGATGTTGAAAGCCTCATTTCTCTGAGCACATTTCCCTTTAATTATTGTGTTTTCCAGATTCCCAAGCTTCAGCTTTCCCAGTGCAAAGCAATTTGAGTACAGGCTACAAAGAGGACTCCAACAGTGTGTATAAGGACTCTAATTCCCTGAAATTGATATGTTTTCTTTCTTATGACTGCTATTCCCACGCATGCCTGTGACATGAATTTGAAATGCCCTATTTGTATAAAGACTGCTCACTATTTCAAGTCATCCCAACAATGGGTAAAAAAGCACTTAAGCCATCCCTTTTAGCATGAGAGACAGGGCCACACTAAGCCACTATAATTATCTTTGAATGTTTTTTGTCATGACACAGTCTACCATACGTGAGACCAAGATGAAATGCCATTCCAGCTGGCTTTGTGACCGTGTGAGCATGTGCGTTTAGGCACCTATTTAAAACATAACTACAGGCCAATGTGCCTTTGTCGAAACACATGGATATCATTACCACACTTGCATTGTGGCTTAGAAGGAAATATAGCAGTTAACCACCTGAAATCTCAGTAGACAAAAGAACTCCATAAAGTTTTACCCTGGTGAGACAGAAGATTGCAAAATATAAGTTCCATTTTAAAAATTAAGAATTAAGTTATGTCACATGTATGAGTCATGAAATTGATTAGTACAGCTTAGTTACTACCTATGAATAGGAGATTTCTATTTCCACTAAGAAGTGGAATAAGGATGGGAAAAACCTCAGTTGCTATATCTTTGTTCACAACCCCACCGTATTCAGACAATGCGAACAGAATTTCTTGCAAGTTTCCAATATGTAAAAACAATGCATTGGATTATTCATATTTTGAATTTGGGTCATCAAGCCCAGCAAAGGTATCATCATGAAGATGTATGTCTATTAATTATTCTCTTGATCAGGTATTCCACGAGATTTCTTTTAATGGAGCAAATCCCACTCAGATCTTGGAAAATATGAAAGCACTGTGACTCTAAATTATTCATTTAGTTCTGGGAATCAAGCAGAGAACCAGAAATCCTGAGTGAAACCAAATGCTTTGGGTGACAGTTGGGTTGGCTTATGTTAAAGGTTACTCCTTTCACACCATGAACACTACAGACAAAGCTTCTGTCCTGTATTCAGCTGCTGTATTCCAGGTCCTGAGTAACTTTTCATGTTTCTAAATGGCCTAGGAATAAAGCTAACAGAAGAGGGCAATGATTCCACTTAACCAACTTAATAGTATATCCAAAAATTTTTTTCTTTTCTGATAGTTCACAAAAGGACTTGGTCAGAATTTTGGTCTGGCAGTCAAAACACCTGAACATGAATCCTTCAACTGCCCTTTAAGTTTCTAGACCTTGGGAATATTGAGAATGGAACTCTTGTCGCTGTAACCTTTACAGGTCTATATTTCTTCTCTAAAAAGTAAAAAGAACAAAGTCACCCCTCTCCTCTGACAACCAGAGGAAAACTTGGTGGAAACTTGACCCTCTTTTTCAGTGAGAGATGCCTGATGTCATGTATTTTGCTTAATAAAGACTGACTTGGTCATACACTAAGTTGATGTAAGAATGTGGGCTGTAACTCCAAGTCTTAATTACACGGAGGACACGTGAATGGGTTCATTAATGCAGTGAAAAGGAACAGTGACCCTACCTGCCAAGTGGTCAGGTGGAAATAATTAATCTGGTCAATTAAAAAGAAATAGATAATTTTTTTTTAATTGAGTTTATTGGTACATTTAGGGATACAGTACAGTTACATTCATTGTTGGGATCATGTACCTTTACATGGCAAGTGCAAAAGCATCCACGGGGCGAGCCACATGCTGCTCTCCACAGCCACGGATTCTTATGGTCAGTTTTGCTCCCCTGAATAAATGTTCTTCATTCTTTCTTTCCTTTTTAAAAATTCTTGTGGCTGCAGTTCAAATCTAGTAGAAAAAATTCTTTCGAGGTGTAAATTATGACCTTTTTCTTTATGTCTCATGTTCTGAAATATTGATTCATTCTAACGTAGGCTCTAGAAATGTTCCTGGGGATGAGCAAGTCCCTAGCATTACAACCAGGATTCTCTTTGTGAGGATCTGTTGTTACATCTTATTTGCCCTTCAAAATTGTCCCCCACCCCCACAAAGAGGACTTTAATGATATTTTAAAAGTGCTGGGGTCTGAGCCACACTGTCTGGCTTATCTAATCCCATTTACGATCCTATAACCTTGAGGTTTGCCACAGCAGGGTTGTCAGCACCAGATTCTAAATACATAGGGTAGTGTGTTTGCTCCACGGAACAGGAAATTAGTCAAACAGTTACTTTTCTACAAATGTTCATAATTCCTCTTGACGTTTACAAGCCAGTAGTAGTTCCTAGACCCAGAAGGATCTCGGAGCACCTCGAGGGGCAGTGAGGCATTTGTAAGCTCTACAGCTGGGCAGGCTGAATCCCTGAAGCAAAGCCTGTGGCCGCAGCTGCCCGGCCCCTGTCCATTTGTGCTTCAGCACGCGAGACAGAGAACACGTCACCACCCTAATCCTTCTCAGCTGGTGCAAGCCCAGTCCCAAGAGAAGTACTAATATCGTTTTCATTTTAGCCACAGCAAAGCTGTACAAAGCAGCGTCGGAGTTTTTCAATCTGCTCCAAGGACGACTTTTTATGGGGAGAGTCTGGCTGTAAATTTCTGGTTGCTAAGGAGGGAAATTCTCATCTAAAACCACAAATGCTGCCGTGGTGAAGTGTGAGTCGAGATTCTTTATTTCCTAGGTGTTAGACTTGGCATCTCAGCGTCGCAGGGTGGAGGAAAGACGCTCGGTGCAGACGTGCTCAAACAGCGGTGCACGTTGTCAGCTCGGTGGGGCGCGCACCCTGGCCATATGCTCGTTGCTGAGCGAAATGGAATGAACAGCTGCCGCCAGGAATCCAATTCCTGGCAAGGGGGCAAGCCTGAGCCCTCCTGTTTCCAAAATAAAAATCACCAGAGGGATTCCCCTTCCTGCAGTTCCAGCCAGTAGTTTTATAAAAACATAAAACATCGCTGTATTGTGGTTTATAACAATCCCTTACATTTGTGAAGCATTTTACAGTTTACAAAGCACTTTGTGTGCATTACCTCGTTGGAGCCGCGTAACAGCCCGGGAGAGCACAAAGCACAGATATCGTGATTTGCTTTTCCCACATGGAGAAAGGGAGGTTCAGAGAATGATGCAGTGAGCCAGCACCCCCGCCTGGGTCCCCTTGCTCCTAGCCTAGGCAGACATGCAGACACCTCCTGGGGCCCCACTGGGGTACTTGGGGACCCTCCCCTAAGTCGGCGAAATTCAAACACAACCTCGCAAGGCTTTTTTTCTTTGTGTTAACACCAGCGTATCCCGCCAGTCTCCTGCACATTTTGAAGCATCAGAAAGTAAGCTAGAGGGGAGCGAGCAGCCAGGGGGAAGGTAGTCAGCAAATCGAGTGCAGAATTTGGTTTGCCAGTGGCACGAAGTCGCCCTACGTTTTGAGCCCACATTGCGGAGATGGGCTAAAGTCACCTCGGATCCAGGGAGGAAGGACTTCGATATTGTTCCTCTGTTCTCAGACATGGCCACCTTTGTTCACTCTTGGCAGGAAAATGGGCTTTTCTCTCGGAACTGCCAGGTTTGCGCTTGGTTGCAGGCAGATTTACAGAACGCATCCGCAGAACCCTTTATATACGAAGTCCCGCTGACCTCAGGAACTGGTCTCTCCTGCGCTGGAGGGCAGCACGGATGGGTGCTCTGCCAGGGGCTGCTTCGGCACCGACCAGGGGAGCCCCTCTCTGGTAGAGACGGGACTTCTCTAGCATGTACTCAGCTCAACCCATTAGGTCTCGCCGGGCCTGCCCCCGCGCCTCGGGGCTTCCTGCTCTGTGGTTCCTGCTGCAGAATGTGGCATCTAGTACTGTAATCTAGTACTGCAGTTCAAAGGCTAGGATCCAAACGCCAGGGCCCTACGCTCCCTAGCTCTGTGCTTTCTGTGGCCCTAGTGGTGCGCCTCACTCAAAACGTGGGTGATTAATAGAAAACCTGTTTCCTGGCTTATCGTAACAATCACACCCATTGTTATTTGTAAGTGTGCAGAGGGGTGCACCCCAGAAGGCTCCAGTTCCTGAGAGTGGTGACAGCCCTCCCTGCTGTGCTAGCTCTAGCCCAGCTGCAGAAAGGCTCACAAACCAAGCAGCATGCTGCCTCACGCAACTCACGGTCCTTCAGGTTACAAGGATTTGCGGGAACACAACACATTTTGACTGCTTATATTTACATTATTGTTATCTAAGTGAAACTTGCACCAGCAAAGGTAAATGGGCCATAGGGGAGAGAGGTCAGAACTCAGTCTGAATCAACAAGGCCGAAACAAAAGATGTAGGATTTTTTTAAAGCACTGGTGTGAGAGAGTTAATGGGCCATCTGTGCTTTCTGGTGGTTTTACCCAAAGGAAAGTGACCTCGTATCTTCACAACAGTCGGTGGTTTTATAAGTTGGAGCCAGGTGCTGCTGGAGTTAGGCCCCTGTGGTCTCCCAGGATATGTTATGAGGGTCAAGGCAGAAGGCAGAAGGGCTGTGTCTCCTCTGATGATTATGCTCCAAGCTGCAACTCCCAGGTCCTTACTTTCTGTCTTGCAGCCTCTGAGTCCTGATGCACTGCCTGAGCAGACTTCCCTTCCCTGGACCAGGGACTGAAACTCTCCCGCTGGGATCCTTCCGAGGCCCTTTGGCTTTTGAAAGAACTGAGGTAATACAGGCTTCCCCTTGTGGCCTCCCTCTCCCACTCTGGGTCTCGGCTAGTTCATCAACCTGCAGGTGCACACTTGCTTTCGTCAGGAAAACCCCACCCTACCATCCCCAGGCATTTGTCTCGCAGGAATCATCTGAGACAGCACAGGATGGCTAGTGACGCCGGTTGCCATTTAAACCCTGCAAAACATTCAAGGCAGCAGAGCTCTGGAAGGGTGAACCTGAACTCGACCAGTCAGATTCATTTTTCAATATTTCTACCAGGGTGAGCTACGGGCTTGCCCATTTGCCCATTCTTTCACCTCTGAGGCTCTGTCTGCCAGTCTTATACAATGACAGTGCTAATTTTCAGAAA